ACTGAAAGGTCACACTGGCGGTGGCATGGGCACTGGATCGCTTAATTCCCTATAATATGGTTGAGTTGGGCGATGCTGGTGTACGTGTCATGCTCGTGAACGAGCGCCGTCAGTTGGGACTGGTCAGCTCCAGACTGTCTATTGTCCTTAAGGTTACTTTATTTTTATATTTGAATAAATATTAGTGTTACACTGTTCTCACATAATTGAACAAACTGTTTGTAAAAGGAATCTGTATGTGAAACTGATTTAAAAAGGGTAACCATGGAGTTTCTTGCTCGTTCTTGTCCATCGGAATCTACACTTTGGAACGAGCAAATAGCTTCACTAAGAGGACTGACCGACAGACTGACACTATTTTTTTTTTTATTTTTTTAATTTTGTTTGACGTTCAAAAGTGCCTGTAAAGGTCTAATTGGAATAAATGATTTTTGACTTTTGACTTTTGACTTTTGAACCGCATATGGTATTATTCGCTGATGACACTTCATGATGACGAAGTTAATAATGCCTTAATGAAGGTTCAAAATTGGTTTACAATAAACAACTTATTACTAAATGATAAAAAGACTAAATGCATTAGATTTATTTTACCAAATGTTAAAAGTAACGTATGTGATGATATATTATTAAATGATCAGAAACTAGAATTTGTAAAAGAGACTACTTTCCTGGGGATCACTGTAGATGAGAAGTTGCAATGGGGGCCCCACATCAGGTCTCTAGCAGGACGATTGAGCTCTGCAGCTTATGCTGTCTGGAAGATCCGTCAGCTAACCGATGTAGGCACGGCAAGACTAGTGTACTTTAGCTACTTTCACAGCATCATGTCGTATAGAATTCTGTTGTGGGGACAGGCATCTGACGTTGAGTCTATCTTTATCTTGCAAAAGCGTGCCGTCAGAGCTATATATAACTTAGGTCGTCGCGAATCTCTCAGAGAAAAGTTTAAAGAGATCAACATTCTGACCGTACCGAGTAAATTTATTTATGAAAACATTATGTATGTTAGGAAAAACCTACACTTATTTGTAAAGGTATCTGACAAATATGATTATCATACTAGACATAGGAATAGATTGAGTCAGCCTTTATTTAGATTGGCAAAAGTGCATAAGTCATTCCTGGGTTTCTGTGTTAAATGTTATAATAAAATCCCAGAAATTGAAAAATCAAATTCAAAATTGAAATTCAAAATTTTAATGAAAGCAAATTTAAATTATGTATAAAGAAACTTTTATGTAAACTAGCATACTACAAACTAAATGATTAAATACAAGATAAAAATGCTTGGAGGCTAGCTGGTCCTACTCCACAGGATGTTTAGAGTATTTTTTTGATTTTAATTATTAAATTGTACACTATGTTGTTAATTGTTGATGAACTTCTAAGGTTTTGTAAATGTGAGTGCCCTGTAACCTATTATAATTAAGTAAGACTTGTAGAATATAGGTACTTGTGTCGGCTGGGAGCTGTCATGCTCACTCAGAGGTCTCATTGGCGGTGGCACGGGCACTGGATCGCCCAATTCCCTATAATAAGGTTGAGTTGGGCGGTGCTGGTGTACGTGTCATGTTCGTGAACGGGCGCCGCCTATTGGGACTGGTCATCTCCAGGCTGTCTAAATATGTTGTCCTTGAGGTTCACTTCTTTTTCGTACTTTTTGCCTGAACATTAGTGTTACATTGTTCTCACATATCAGAACCGACTAAATGATGTAACAAAGAAATGTATTGTAAAACTGATTGAAAAAGAGTAACCATGGAGTTTCTTGCTCGTTCTTCTCCATAGGAATCTACACTTTGGAACGAGCAAATAGCTTCACTAGAGGAGAGACGGACAGACTGACATGCTTAATTTTAAAGCTCTTGTTATATACTTTTTTCCTTTTTTGCTTGCTTGACGTTCAAAAGTGCCTACTGTGGTCTAATTGAAATAAATGATTTTGACTTTGACTAAGAACGGCCGAACCAATTTAGCTGAAAATTGGCAGGGAGGTAGTTTAGAGCTAGGAGAAGGACATAGGATAGAGTAGGGTAGGTAGAGTAGGTATAGTAGGGTAGATAGAGTAGGGTAGATAGAGTAGGGTAGATAGGGTAGATAGAGTGGGGTAGGTAGAGTAGGGTAGGTAGAGTAGGGTAGGTAGAGTAAGGTAGGTAGTCAAATGACGGGAGCGACGCCGCGGGTAAGAGCTAGTTTTTAATAAAATATTCCCATATATACTCATATAATAATATACCTAGTTTAGATTCTACCTTACTACTAAACGAGATGTGGTAGCAATTTAAATCTCCACACGAACTTCACATCCTTCAGCGATATTTGAACATTTTACCAACCAGTTACACCGAGTTCCATTACTTCATAACCAACTATTTCCTGACTCTGCGATTTTTATTTGAAAACTGCTTTTAAAAACCACTCGAGCGAAAATTCGTACGATTTACTGCAAAGTGCCACGTAGTACATGAAGTTAGTTTTTAAATACATAATGTGCACTTTAAAATGGTAACTTTGCTTGCAAATGCGGTCTGATATATTTCTCAAACGAATCATAGGTTGAATCTAAAGTAGCAGAAGTACAGCACTGATATTTCACAGTTTCCTATTCCGTTTTAAAAAGTAAGATTAATCTTATCGATATAATTTAAAACGTCCCTATATGTATATGTGACTGGACAGCAAAGGGGCAGTTGGATTACCTGATGGTAAGCAATCAGCGATCGGCGGCCCATAGACATTCGCAATACTACGGGAGTTACAAGTAAATAGGTTAGTTGTCGGCTTTCTGGTGATAAAACTTTTTTAACATGCAGAGATTGGGGAGGGTCCGAGGGAGAAATTGGGTCTACGGGAACCTCACTCACACGACAATTCACAAAGCTAAGGTTATTTCACGCCAGTTTTCTATGATGCCGCAAGCTGGCCCATTCGTGCCGTAACATGGTCTTCCACACTTCGAACTCTGTTTACCTATCGTCGAAATCTAACAAATCCATTTCATAAACAAAAATAAACCATATTGCTTTATTATTATGTTCCAATACGGATCTTTTCAATTTAAGAACGGTTACTTAATCAGTGTCTTCAAAATACGAGCGTGTGCTAAAATGCTAACTCATCTCTGTTCAAATTATCTAAATGGAAGCTAGTATTTCATTTCTTAGAAATATCGTGCGGTTAAGATCTGATGATTGATGAAGTAAAGCAACGAAAATGTTGTTATTATCCTTTTGAAGACTGGGATGAGGTAGACACTAGGTCTTTATCAGACTCGGGTTTTTCATTTATGACTTGATATAATAGACATGTTCTAAATTAAATATTCTGGCGCGAAAAAGCGATACTAAATATTATTATTGTTAGACCTTAATTTATTGAAATAATTATATTGAAATTGCGAAAATCCCTGCTAGGTGTATTTAAACAAGTCGTTATTTTTATAAATACGGTAACAAAATACATCTCAATATCTGTATTTCTTTTCCTTTTCCTATTTGCTATATGTGTGTTGTACACAAAACATCAATAAATAAAATTTTTTGTTCGTTTATCTGATTTTAATGAGTTAGCTATAGACGTGCTGTCGAAATATCAAGGTATATTTCGATCCGGGGTTGCGGGGTAAGCGCAATGAGGCACCGCGACCTCGGCCCAGAGCAGGCGAAGGAACAAGGGGGTTTTTAGTCAGTAAGAGTCTGACACTCCCTCCCGCCCTGGGCGGGAGAAGTCATTTGATGATTTTCCCCCACAAAAAAGGTATATTTCGATAGATTCGTCGTCAGATTAACTATTTTGCGTTAGAATTAGTGTAATATTTTAAGCTTGTAGCTTTTACGCCTGAGATATATTAAAATCTTAGAACTTGGTTTACACTTACTTATTACTGGGTGAAATAAAATATGAAATTGATTTCCACCTTCGCTTATACTTTTATTACATAATTAAATTCATATCTCTCGGTTTGTAAAGTGTTCTTTTGTCTGTGGGGTAATCTACATCATATTAAAAACAAAAAAAAAATACTTCAACATTTTGTACATTGTTCCAACCATCGAAAGTGCTGTCACAGAAGATTTTGTTAGTAGGTACCTTCACAAGAATGCATTCAGTAAAAATGTTCTTAGCATGCACAAAGGAGATTATTGAAAGCGAAGAGTGGTTGCATTAGCAGTGCATACCGTGAAGTCGTACTTTTACCATTACTGTAGTAAGTACAGACGCTACCATATCAATCTACATCTTTCTGCCAATCTCCTTTTTAAGATTTTAAACTTTATACTTTTGTTGTAAAGTTGAAAATTCAATGAAAACATTGTTAGTTTTAAGTAAGTGACCTGCTGACAAATGTACGGGGAAATGGACGCTATATAACTAATGTCCTTTTACCTTAAAGAGAAGTAATTCTTTGTTCTGGTTTTTTTTGTTTTATATTGTGGTCAAGTTTGAAGGAGCTTCAGCTGTATCAGTATTTGGATAGTCTTATCATAGGTACATACTATTCATTATTTATTATTAGGCGGCCCACCCCCGATTCGCACGGGTCCAACTATTTCGCTAACAATGAAAGGGTCCCTTTTCCCCAATTTACCCCTCTACTTTTTTAATATTTTCTTTCATAAGAACCTTTTCCTGATAATAATAACTATAAAACAAAAGCATTTGGCAAAATTAGTCCAGTCGTTTTTAAGTTATGCGCTTACCGACACATTTTGCGATCCATTTTTATATATAAGATATAAAGTATAAGGTGTTCAGTTATACAGTGCCCACGGCGAGAAACAATTTTTACTATTTTTTCTACTTAAACTACATCATGATGTGACAGTTAAAAATTTCATGTAATGTTACCATACGGTGACATACGGGATAGCCATACTTCGGCACGAATGTACCAGCTCGACCGGAGTGATACTACGGCCTCCTTGCCTTGCCTTGGATCTTATTGCTCATACATAGTCGATTCGATTTCAGACTCTGTTCTATAATTGAGAACACAGGACAATAATAAAAAGATCGAGCGATCATCTCCGGCCACCGTAATCCTGGGTTTGAGGACGGTGAGTAACAGAGTAGAAGCTCTCCACCAGACCAGAACCAGACCCGAGCGGATGGCGCGTAGTATTCTGCTCGCGCCTCAAAGAGCCAATAGACCACCACAGACGGGGCCCATTAGGGCTAATGTTCAGCCGGGGTTGTGGGGCAAGCGCTATAAGTCACCGCGGCTTCGGCCTAAAGCAGGAGAAGGTGGGAGTTCTTAGTAAGTAAGAGTCTGACACTCCCTCCCCACCGTGGGTGAGAGAAGTCATTTGATGATTCTCCTCTCACAATAAAGGACAATAATAAAAAGTACCTTTGATGTTTCTCATTTTGAAAGCTTTCTTGATTACAATGTGACAGTCAATAACCGTGTCCTCACTTGACATCTAGCAAAAGATTTGTTTATCCAATCACTAAAGATGTCAAAAACTTACCGTCCAATAGCATTGCAGTAGCTAAATTTCCATTCGACGAATAGACGTGTGGTGCACACTAGTGACGTCTTGTGAGCATAAAAATGTATAGCGCTTATTAGCAAAGTGTACTAAGTATGAGACCTAATACTATTTAGAGGAATAACAGTTAAAAGATAACCTTTAAGTGAAAAGTTTGAATTTTTATAATGAAATAAAAAAACAACTTGAAACGAACAACACTTTACATTTCATTATCGTAAGGTTCAACTCTAACATTTCGCTTGTTTGTCGGGTCATTTCACCTTGTAACAAGAACAATTTTTTTATTTATTTATAAGTCTTCAGCAACGATTTTGGAAGCCTTTAATGAACTTCTTTGTTAAAAGAACACGATTGTGTTTTAGCTAAATACAGTAATAAATATTTGTTGGAATTTCAACTTTATTGTAAAATGATAAGGATACAAATGTATTAATGTTTGGGATAGTTTGATGTGCTGGCTTAGACGATTTGTTTTTCTTTATTTTGTTTGAACAGTTGAAGTAAAGGTCAAGTTTGGATAAGCAGCTATTGGATACTTAATTATAAACATCCCTACACTACATAAAACAGAAAACATAACAGAACCTGAAAAAAATACACTTCTACAACCTCGTACAAATCTCTTACACTTTTTTTCACAGGGTTTAAAAGTTTGCCCTGTAAGATTTTGAATAAAGAACGTAGTTAATTGTGTATGAAACAGCTACCACATAAGTTTATAGGCGGCTTAAACTTGATCTCCAATCAGTTTGTAGACCCTTTTATACAGAAGAAACCGATAGTACAGTTTCTGTGGCCAGGCAATAATTTTAAAAAGAGTTTAAATATGAAAATTTGTTAAATATTTATTTATGATTTTTTTTTTTATGTTATAAGTCGGCAAACGAGCAGAAGGATTACCTGATGGTAAGCAATCGGCGCCGCCCATGGACACCCGCAACACCAAAGGAGTTACGAGTGCGTTGCCAGCCTTTTGGGGATAGGGGTTGCGGATATAAGGATCGGGACGGGATAGGGGAGGGGGCGGGATTGGGCCTCCGGTAATCTCACACACGGCGAAACACAACGCTGTGGTTGTTTCACGAAGGTATTCTGTGAGGCCGTAGTATCACTCCGGTCGAGCCGACCTATTCGCGCCGAAGCATGGCTCTCCCACACTTGAATAGTAATATAATATAGTATAAGTTATCGTGAGATATAAATACTATATTTGTTGAAAATAACAAGTTACTCACGTGAATTAACTGAGAAAAGCTCTACTAATTTCAAGTCACAACGGAACTCTTATTCATGAGCATCGTGCGTTATGGCATCGTCTCATAACCAACTGGATTAATTCATTATTTTTAATAAATTTAATATGTTACACGATACGATAAATAAACGATAAACAAACATTTGGTATTTTCTGATTAATAAAAAAAGATATATTATTAATTAAAATAATCCAAACTAATATTATAAATGCGAAAGTAACTCTGTCTGTCTGTCTTTCCTTCACGCCTAAACGAATGAACTTGTTTCAGTGAAATTTGGTAATAGTTTAAAACTCGAGAAAGGACATGGGATAGTTTTTATAGTAAACATCTGCACGAAGTCACTATTCCACGCGAACGGAGTCGCGGGCAAAAGCTAGTACTTAATCAACATAACCTTGTTTTAGAGAAGCTTTAAAGTGATAAATGTAACAAATATACCATAATATTACCACAACTAGATATTAGATTACCATAACAATGAAACATATAGCACTATTTGAAGTTTTAACAATGGAATTAAAACGAAAATTGTATTAAAATGTTAATATGATACGGACACCCAATTTAGATTTACGTTTAAATTAGCATAGTTTCGCTTTTATTGTATAAAATTGTTAATTTAATATAATGAAATTATGTTTTGTATGAAATTTTAACATTTCTCATCCACAGAAATATATATTTATTTGCATTATGATAGTAATATGTATAATTATGTTGATCTGCTGTATAACTTAAGTATTAATACTAATATTCACTTCATAGACACCAACAATTATGTTGGTCTTAATATATATAGGACAAAAGATAGGTACTATCTTTCAAAATATTATTTAAGACAAATAGCAATGTCGCTATCATATTTTTTTAATATATCAGCCAATAACTTGGCTAAACAGGTTACTCCTATTGAGCAACCAAAAAATATTGACATTCATAATGAGTCACCTAATACTGACATTCATAATAATTTAAATTATTAAATAAGACAATAGAGACAAACTCTTGCAAATTAAACAGTAATAAGGTTATTAATCTGGTTCACCAAAACATTCAAGGCTTTATGAGTAAAGAATTGGAAATAGAGTTATTTTTAAATTGTAATAATGTGGATATTTTGTGTATTACTGAACATTGGCTAAAACCCCATCAGCTCATGTTCAATTTTGGTAAGCACCAGATTGGTAGCTCGTTCAGCAGAGAAAACGCTATACATGGTGGGTCACTTATACTGATAAGTAACCAGCTCAAATTCAAAGATCGTAAAGATATAGTTAGTTACTCTGTTGAGCGTACTGTTGAAATAGCCTGTGTGGAATTGGAGCGGTTTATTGTATTAAGCGTGTATAGACCACCTTCTGGTTTGTATGACTGTTTTGAAACAGTAATGGATGAAGTTCTAAGTAAACTTACAAATTCAAAGAAATCCATCATTACATGTGGTGATTTTAATATAAATTTATTAGAAAAATGTAGTTTAAGCACAAAAATTGTAAGTTTATTTTCTTCATACAACCTTGCGAATTTGTTTCTGGAGCCAACTAGGATAACACCCACTAGTGCCACTTGCCTGGACAATATTTATACTGACATTGTGCCAGTTAACAAAGAAATAATTTCAGTACTTGATTCCGATCACTGTGGTCAGTTAATTTCTTTAACAAAAGAAATAAATATAGTATCAAAACAATATATCACAGTTAATCCGAAGACTAAAAGACGCATTGAATTTTTCAAAGCTAAACTCAGCAACAAATTGCCTTTGTTGTTGAATTATAAGAATTCTAGCACTTTATATGATAAGTTTTTTAAAATGTACCTAACAGAGTTTAAGTCTACTTTTTCAGATAAAACTATACCAGCTAATAGCAATGCGTCTTTCGGTGATTGGGCAACCACTGGTATCTATAAGAGTAGAAAGCGCCTCTATGAGCTTTATAATGAGCGGACATATATCGCACGCTTAATCATAAAGAGAAATAACTCAAAAATAAGTTATTTAAAGATTCAATCATAAAACGTAATAACATATCGCTAAGAATATTTACGCTCCAACCGCCGCTCGATTTGAATGAATATGAACGAAATAAAGGACTGTCGCTCTCTTTCTGACTAACGCGCCCGAACAGATTGGTACCAGTAAACGGCTATATTCAGTCATGTGCCAACAGTGATGCAAGTAAGGTGATCGCAAAATTATTTAAAGGGCGAAACATTACGGCATAAATCTTTATATTATTAACAGGTAAGTCTTATTTCTTGTTTTAATTTATTCATAAAGTGAATAACTAAGTCTTATTTCACTTTATTACAAAAAGTATGTCACTACTTTGTGATATCATTTTGACTTATTGCAGTTTAGTTTAAATTTTATTAACGCGTCGTCCAAATTTATACGAGTTATTTCGTTTTCATTTTAAAAGAATAAATATAATGTTGGCACAAAATGACTTATTTCGTTTTAGTTTTAAATTATCGTTCAAATTTAATAATGAAACATGCTTGTTGCTGTTATATGATTAATTGTCGTCAAAAGTTATTTGGGACATTTAAAATTATTTCCCTTTCCATTTGAATAGAATATTTTAATTGTTACTTATTCTATGCATCGTCTGAATAGCCATTTAATGAATTAACATCCAATTAGGCCAGTCTTATTATTATTGTATCCTACCCTAATCCTTATATAAGATAATTTGAAGGGTACAGGGACAAAACAAGGAATGTCACAAAAAGAAAGTTTTTGTGTAGGTAATTAATGCTACATAAAAATATGCGCGAAAATCTAAGTTTTGCTGCTAATACTTAATTTATATTTGATTTTTTTTTGTGACATTCCTTTTTTGTCAGATACTAACCTAAAGCAAAGAATATATACTATTACTTCCGTTCTAAAGCCATTTTTGCCGTAGTGAGGGAATTAATTTAATTATTAATCTGTTTTAAAACGGGTATTAATCGCGTCATACCTTGCTATTTTATTTTTCCGACGTTTCAGCTGAGTTGCATCAGCCGTGGTCACGGGGCGACTTATATAAATTATATTTAGTTTTACATTATTATTGACGTTTAAAACTGTGACTTGATCCGTTATTATCCGAGTCGCAGACGCGCCTTTTTTTAATTACTGTTAATTTAATATTAAAAACATTATAAATTGTAATTTTTTTGTAGCATGGCGTCTTGGAGAGCAAGTCGTATACTTAAATTGGTATCACCTGATGCAACATCTCATACTCAAGACAATCTGGTGGTTAAAATCGACAATACTATTGTAGAAGATCAACACAGTACAGCTAAAGAAAACGCAGAAAATGTTTCCCCAAATAAAAATATTGATGTAAGTAGCTGTGATGAGATCTTATCAGATTGTGATAGAGATGATCAATTTGCCAACAAAATTGATGCTCGATTTATAAGTTCCCGTAAAACAGATAATAGTAGTCTTACTACACACACATCAATAATAAGAACATTGCAAACAAACCTCGTACCAGATTATGACAGTGATGATTCATCCATAAATGATAATAATAACTTAGAAAACATTGAAACTTGTACTGAAATTGATCAAAGCATTCAAAAAGCACTGCCGAAATCTTCTTCTTCAAGCTCGTCTACATCAAGCTCGTCTTCATCGAACTCTACCTCCTCTGGTAGTTCATCTTCGGATTCAGACAGTTCTACGTCTTCTAAACGAACTAATCAACATTCTGAACAATACGCCAATGGTGTAAGACCACAGAGCGCTTCAACTTCCACTCTACCTGCCAATATTTCACCAAATTATACTGATGAAAGTGATAATATAGACTTAAGTGATGACGACCCTACATTTAATTATGAACTGTCTACCAAACGCAAAAAGAAAAACTATTTTTTTGATGCCACCAAAACAGACTCATCTGACAGTGACGACGATAGTGTTTCAGATTCTGATAGAAAGAAGCTTAGTAAAAGAGGGCGCAAGCGATCTCTAAATCCTGCAAAGTGGAAACAAAATAAAGTTAAAAAGCTACGGAACACTGGTGAATCGTATATATCCATATCGAAATCTCAGAAAGTTATTCCCAGCCGCTGTCTTAAAGTGCCTTGCACAGATAAATGTAGATTAAAATGCACAACTAATATATCAATGGATGAAAGGTATAATATATTCAAAGAATTTTGGGATTTAGGAGACCTGACAAGACAAAGAGTTTTTATAAGCAGTTGTATGGTAGACATAACTCCAAAATATAGGTACACAAATGCTACAAATCCCAGACGCCCAAATAAAGCCTATAATTTTACTGTTAATAATAAAAAAATAAGGGTATGTAAGACATTTTTTAAATCTACTTTGGATGTTACGGACAGAATGATATTCACCATACAGCATAAAGTAAGTGACGGTGGCTTTATGCTTGAAGATTTGAGAGGGAAACACCATAGCCACAAAACTCTCCCTCCTGAATTGATTGACGACATACGGAAGCATATTCAATCCATTCCGAAAATAGAGTCACACTATGTGAGAGCTACTTCTACCAGAGAATACATTGACGGTGGTAAAACTATAAAGGATTTGTATTCAGATTTTGTTAAACAACAAGAAGAAAATAACAAAGAGACAGGAAATTACATAGCATACTATAAAATATTCACTCTAGAATTTAATTTAAGTTTTTTCCAGCCAAAAAAAGACCAGTGTGATTTATGTGAATCATTTAAAAACAGTACTGATGAAAAAAAGAGAGAGCTGGAAGATAAATATAATAAACACATAGAAGAAAAGTCATTGAGTAGAATAGAAAAACAAGAAGATCGTAAAAAAGTTACCAAAGATAATATAGTCGCAATTTATGATTTAGAAGCAGTGCTCCAATGTCCAAGAGGTGATACCTCGGCATTTTATTATAAATCCAAACTTAACAGTTACAATTTAACATTAACGGAATTGACACAAACGGAGTCAAAAACGGCATATGATAAAGTACATTGTTATTTTTGGACAGAATCAGAAGCTAAACGTGGGGCAATAGAAATAGGAACTTGTGTATGGCAGTATCTTGAAGGGATATGTGAATCAAATATAGAAGAGAAAAACGTTACATTTTATTCTGATAACTGTTGCGGACAGAATAAAAATAAATATATCGCAACATTGTATTTATTTGCTGTGAACACGTTGAATATAAGAAGTATAAAACACAAGTTTTTAATCACAGGGCACACTCAAAATGAAGCGGATAGCGTGCACAGCTTAATAGAAAAAGAGATAAAGAAAAATCTTAAATCAGGGCCCATTTACAGCCCTGATCAGTACATAGCTTTAATTAAAAATGCTAAAAAAAGTAAACCAGCTATAAATGTACACGAATTAACCTTTGATTCCTTCGTTGATACTAAAATATTGCAGGAAGAATGGGGTTACAATTATAATACAAATATGGACGGACAAACAGTTAATTGGAATAATATAAAAGTATTGATGATGAAAAAAGAGAAACCATTCAGTATTTTTTACAAAACTTCCTACAAAGATGATTGTTTCCAAGAAATAGATGTAAGAAATAAAAGGAAGAAGATGAAGCTCATAACAGAAATTACACTAAAAAAGGCTTACACGGAAAGGCAAGATATAAGTCTTAATAAAAAGAAGGATTTAAGAGATCTCGTCAATAAAGGACTTATTCCTCCTTTTTACGCAAATTTTTATAATTCGATCATTAACTAGAGTTACTTCATTGATCTCATAATAATTCATTAAAATTTTAGTGATTTTGTTTGTCTATAATATTTTTAGAAACATCGTTTTTTTTTTGTTTTTATAATTAAGAAGAGTTTTAGTTTTGTTATTAAGTATAACTAATATTAGTCAAGTATAACATTATGATTGTTTAACATTGTGATTCCACGTTTATTGATTATTTTTTAAACATATTTTTTTTCACTTTTTGCCCCAGCCTGGGTTTGTGATTAGGTACCTCCCTGCCTTAATTCAGTTAGCCAAGTCATTAATGTCTTGTGTTATATTACTTTCGTACTTTAAAATAAAAGAATATTTCTAATTATGCGTTTCATTACTATAATATTTATTGATATTTTTCCGTCATGTTGTAAGACAAAGAAATATTTCGAATTCTTGTAAGAAAATTATTACATTTATTAATAAAAAATTGAAATAAAGCTTACTTAAGTTGAATAGCTAAACAAAATTTTATTAATAAAGAGATATATTATGTTTTATGACTAATAACATTTAAAATATGCACGTAGATTTTAATCATAAAGTGAAATAACTAGGAACTTTTTTTTTAATGCATCATCTACTAGTCAATAGTAAATAAAATATACTTTTATATAGCACTAAACAAAAACCAATAAACCCAGCTTTCCTTTAAATCAGTTTATTTCCTTATAACACGTCTAAATTAATTTTAATACGTAAACAAAGTTCAACCCAGAATAGTTCTAAACTTTAAACTGGCATATCCAAAAAATATCAATTTTGATATATTTCTTTTTTTGATTAAGCGTGCGATATTAACACTGTTGAATTCAGTGAATATGTAAAAAACTATTCTAAATTATTCAAAAAGGTTTGCTCTATTGCTAAATCATTATTCTTAAGCTCTAAGATAAAGAACAGTACCAATGTTATCAAAGACACTTGGAATATTATCAACAGTGAGGCAGGAAGGTCTAAAAAGAGAATAAATCAACATAGTCTTGTTATTGATAATAAGTTAATAAAAGCGGATGTAGAAATTGCAACTGCTTTTGAAAATTTCTTTTCCGACATTCCTGTATCCACTACTAAGTCACTGAATTCATCTCCCACTGTTGCAGAGTCTTTACTCAAAAAACATGTTGTAGCTTGCGATTCAGGGTTTTCCTTCGAGCACATAGATAACAAGGAAATTGTTAAAATCTTTAATACTTTGAATAACAAAAAGACTGCAGATCTATGGGGCAATTCTGTGTATATTACAAGCTCTGTAATAACTATTGTAGCACCTGTATTAGCTCAAATCTTTAATAACTGTATTGACTGTGGTGTGTTTCCTGATCTTATGAAATGTAGTAAAATAATTCCATTATTTAAATCAGGTAGTACTTCTGACCCCACTAACTTTAGACCTATTTCAGTGCTACCTACGTTCAGTAAAATTTTTGAAAAAATTATTTTAGATCAAATGCAAAGATTTTTTAATAGAAATAAATTATTACATGCGAAACAGTTCGGATTTACAAGGGGTCGTTCAACAACTGATGCCGGTGTTGAACTTCTTAATCACATTTACGACGCATGGGAGGACTCAAGCGACGCTTTGGGAATATTTTGTGATTTATCCAAGGCGTTCGATTGTGTGCTTCATGATACACTGATCAGGAAGCTATCCCATTACGGAATAAGAGGTGCATCTCTGGACCTTCTTACCTCATACCTGAGTAATAGGGTTCAGAGAGTTGAAGTAAACGGAGTGGTTTCTGCCGGGTCTGTTGTGAAGATGGGTGTTCCGCAGGGTTCTATTCTCGGCCCGTTTTTATTTCTTATCTATATTAATGACTTGCCTTACCTTGTAAGGGATAAACACGAGATAGTGCTGTTTGCTGATGATACCTCACTATTATTCAAACTCAGACGACGACAATTAGTTATTGACAATGTAAACAGTGCTCTCTCAGAAATAGTTCACTGGTTTGGTGTTAATAACTTATTACTAAACGAAACTAAAACTAAATGTATTAAATTCACAACACCAAATGTTAAACAGGTAAAAACCAGTGTGCTTGTCAAGGGCGAGGAGTTGAGTCCTGTAGATACAACTGTCTTTTTAGGTATAACCCTGGACGCTAAGCTCCAGTGGGGCCCTCATATAGATGGCTTGTCGAAGAAGCTCAGTTCTGCAGCATATGCCGTTAAAAAAATTAGAAATTTAACAGATGTAGATACAGCGCGGTTAGTTTATTTTAGTTATTTCCACAGCATCATGTCATACGGTATTTTGTTGTGGGGGAATGCTGCTGACATTCAGTCTATTTTTGTTCTGCAGAAAAGGGCTATTCGATCAATCTATAATCTTAGTCCGAGGCATTCGCTCAGAGAATTATTTAAGGAAACTAAGATAATGACGGTTGCCTCACAATATATTTATGAAAATGTAATTCACGCTCATAAAAACAAAAGCTTATTTAAGAAGCATAGTGATATACATAATATTAACACGAGGGGGAAAAACAAATATGTTGTCCCTGCCTCCAGGCTTCAGAAAATAACTAGTTCGTTTAGATGTCAATGTATACGCTTTTACAATAAAATTCCTAGCGATATTCAAAATTTGAGCCTCAATAAATTTAAAAGTGTAATAAAGGCTAAACTTTGCTGTAAAGCATTTTATAAAATAAAAGACTACTTAGAGGATAGTCAGGCATGGGAATGAGCCGCTGTAATGTCTGCACAGGTCATGTTGACATGTTTGTAACATAAGTTACAATTTTATATACAATTTGACATTACGTTTATTTTTTATTTTTTATACAATGACATAATCACCTATTGTGACATTTTATTTTTTATTTGACATTTTTTTTTATTTATTTATTGACATTTTTATTATTTTATATTATTGTTAGTGTAAGGACCGTGTGAGACTTGCCGTGCTTTTTGATTACCAGTTATCTGCGTTCTGACAGTTTGAGTACTTGCGCGACCCACCCAAATGTTCTTTAGATCGGTATTGTTCGTCGGACAACTCAGCAGCACTAGCTATACTGGTTGTAAACTGACACTTGCGTGCCTGTCTTCAGAACGGGTCCACTTAAACTGGTGTGGTTCTTTCCTCAAAAGACCACTACAGAATGAACTTGCACGATTCTCTCACATTATGTTATTTTTACATTGTCTGGACTTGAAAAGAGACTGACCTCTGAGTTTGTTTCGGCATTTCTTCTCAGAGTAGTCAGATAGGAAATGCCGGCTTCATCTAGTTTTTCACATATAAATTGACGTGTAAAAGTGCCGTTTTATGGCCTATTTGCAAAAATAAATTCATTGTTTCATTGTTGTTTCATTGTTTCATTGATCAAAAGCAGCCTATGTGTTAAACCACGGTATCACCTATCTGCATACCTGGAAGCGAACGCTCTTTGCCCACGGTACACCTCGTGAGACAACCTAGGTGTGCAGCGGGAAGTTTTTTTTACTAAGAAAGAAAGAAAGAAAGAAAGAAAAACATTTATTTGAGACTCGCACAGAAAATAAATACAATTACATTTTATATATACAAAAAGAAAAAAACAAACAAAAATAATAAACAGAACAACAACAAAAAAAATATTAAAATAAAATAAAAGACCTGTGCGAGGTCAAAAAGGCCACTATCTCAGCATATGCTGCGATAATTCACCAGTAGGTAAAAATACCGCAGCGCTGGTATTCTGATAGGGCCTGGTGATGCCACGGACATACTCACGGAACACAGAAACAGATTAACATATATAAATATATAGAGATATATAAATATTAGATATATATAAAAATTATAAACAAAAAAAAAAATAATAGTAATAAAATACCTACTAAAAATATTATATAAATAGTGTACAAATATAAATATAAATGACAAGAAAGATGTAGTTGTGCACACAGAACAATACATCAACACCAACGCGTGCATGCCCCGGTAGGTAACGTTTGTCCCTCTCTGTCATAGACAATCGATGGAAAGTGCGGGCGCCCGTAGACACGCAGGCGCAAATATAGTGCATAGTCTGTGGCACCACTGGATTTGGTCGCTTAAACTATAATAATACTAGAGATAGGTAATGTTTGGTCGGCTGTCAGAGTACTTGAGAAAAGAAGTCAGAAAAATAAACATACGTAAAAGTATTTCATACAAACATACGTTCAGCATCAGAAAATAAATAATTAAAAATAGTTTTATTAATACAAAATAGAAAATTATGTGCAAACAAAACAATACTAATTCAGGTGACAAGTTTAGAAGTGTATAATTGCTGCTTGGAGTATCCAAATGTGAAACAAATCTACACACAAACTGTGTACAGACCAGATGTACGTTCATGTGGAAATACTTTGGGCATGTAATAATTCTTCCTTAAACTTTCTACTAAAAGCACCAACTGTTTTCATAGCACGAAGAGGTGGAGACAGATTGTTCCAAATATGAGAGGCAGTGTGTTTGAAACTACCACGGAAAGCAGCCGTTCTATGGGACAGAGTTAACAAGAGGTAAGAAGATGCTCTGGTATTTATTTTGTTCACATCACGCGACCAAGTCAATTTATTATATAAATAGACTGGTTTCTTTGTATGAATAACTCCAAAGAGTAGGGTGGCCAGATGAAGTTTTCTACGATCTGACATTTTCAACAAACCACCCCTATTCAGGAATGGAGTTATGTGGGATCTCGGGGGAACATTAAAACAAAACCTCGCACAAGCATTTTGAACTCTCTGGATTAACTTATTACTTCTACCGAGAATGCATGCCCCATACATAGTGTCAGCGTAGTTCAGCTTTGACAGAATTAGCGACTCACACAGCATGATACGCATTTCCACACTTAAGTAGGGACGCACACGATATAGAAGCTTGAGTCGGTAGAAGCAGTTGCGCACAGCTTCCGTGATGTGAGATTCAAAATGCAAGTGCTCATCAAACAGTACACCAAGATTACGGGCTTCCTGTACCCTTTCAATGGAACACC